TGGATTTTAACGTTTTTTGTTCTGTTTCTTTTTAGTTTTCATGTTTACTGGACTTGATTAGTTAAAATGACTCCTCTTATATAAACGACGATCAATACCGCATTGAAATTGAAGGGAGCGACCAGCCAATTCAAATGATTAAAGGACTCCCTTCCTCACAAATTGCGCGCTCCAATCTTTCATTGCAATCCTGCGATAGGCGGCGGGTGCGGCGTGTGCGACGCCGTGTTAGGGGAGAAGTTCCCGGACCCCCTTTCCCCGCTTGTACCATGCGCCAATCAGGAGAATCGCTGCTGCTGTAGAGGTTTCGGGAAATCTTCCGGTAAGGCACAGAGCTAAAAATGACGGAGGAAAAAGTCTTCATCATGTACTGTTCTACATACTATTCAGAAGCATTCGGGCATTCGAACATTCGTATATTTTATGTTGGGGCTGCGTCGTTCAGCCTTGTTACGAATTAAAATGCTCTCTATTCAATAAAATAATATATAATATGATATATATAATAAAATAAAATATAATAATTAGACAAAATATATGAGAAAGCGTTAGAACATAGTCAGGTCTACCACAAAACCCCTGCAGAGACTTAACAGTAGGCCGGAATCGTTTGTAGACTTTATAGCTGCTTTCTCACACCTAGATGAAATAATTCTCCGAAACACGACTATACCTCAAGATCAATGTTTTTAGAATACAGCTTTCGCAGAGCTTTGAATGCCACCTGAAGTGGACATTCTATCAAGTTACCCAGCTCTTAAGAACTCGATTTTGAACCATTTTCAACAAAAATAACAAAAAGACGCAACCCGCGTCCTTTCAACACTTGTGTTATAAATACTTTTGAAGCTTTTTCGAAAAAATGTATGCTATAATTCAACGCTCCGAGTTCTACAAGGTGGTGCTCTCAAAACTTCAAAAAAAAAAACCCTTAATCCAAAGAACTATGGATTTATAGCTGTTACACTAAAATTTAACTAAAATTTAATTGGATATTCTGGCAATTTTCAGGAGATATCGATATAAACAATAAATTTCTGTGCTTCAGTCAAAACTTTGCAAAAATCTCGTTGCCAACCTGTTCACACGCGAGCGTTTCCTCTGCTGTATGGGCACGTGCCTCACGAACGATTTCTCAAATCCTCTACGGCAGCAGCGGTTCTCCTGATTGGCTCACGGGACAGGGCGAGAAAGGCGAGAAGTCGATTTCTTGGCCAAATGCCAAACCTATTGACTGATTTCCCGATTGCCGGTGCCCATGGTCACCTGTATGATGAACTATTTCGCAACCTGCGCCGATACTTGCCGTCGAAGGTTAGGGAGTTGGCTAATGAAAAAGAATGGTGGAAGAAAAGTAAGGTCAACAAAGTCCTTGCTAGAGGTGGTACATGTATCATCATGTATCTGTTGCGTGGCCCTGATTACCCGTACCGGACCTATCCTCGTGAGTTGACCACCTTTCTATTTCCTTTACAAACTAGGTTATAATCTGCTATGTATACTGTTCGATACTTCAGAACAGTTGGATCCAGAAAAAAAAACTTTGCTTACCTTCCTTACCACCACTATGCTTCTTTCATGGCCAATTCTCAAACACTCGACGGCAGGTATCGACACAGATTACGAAATATCTCTGATACTGGCGACCATCGGCACCGGCAATTGGGAAATCAGTCGATGGGTTTGGCACTTGGTGCAGAAATCGACCCCTCTCCTTTCCCGCCTTGTACGGACGCCAATCGGGAGAATCGCTGCTTAGAGGATTTGGGAGGTCGTTCGGTGATGCACAAAGCTAAAAACGGGAAGGCAAAAAGTTTTCACCCGGTACCGACCTGAGTACCATGCAAAAGCATTTGGTTTGCGCAATCGAACGACTTATGTTGGGGCTGGATCGTCCATTTCGGTAGGAAACAAAATGCTCTCCACTCACGAAGATATGCCCCGCACTGATAATTAGGGCCAGATATCAGAGGAAACGCTAGATGTAATCAGATCCACAAGAAATTCCTGCACGAGCTCGGCACCGGCAACCGGGAAATCGGACAATGGGTTTGGCATTTGATCAAGTATTGCCGAGCCTTCTCCTTCCCTCCGTGCACCGTGCGCCAATCAGGAGAATCGCTGGTGCCGCAGAGAATTTGAGAGCTTCCGGTGAGGGATAGAGCTAAAAACAGGGAAGAAAAAAGTTTTCATCAAGTACTATCGTCGTCTACGACGACGATCCCAACAACTATCTCGTCGTCTCACTGTCTGAGACGACTCTCCCTAACTTAGCCCACGCCCCTAAATGATACGGGGTCAAGCGGGACCACCAAAAAGCGTGGTCCCCACTTCTTCCTCAAACAACGTCCAGGGCAAGACGTAGGTTGTGTTGTTAGATAAAGTATTATTTACCATTATTCTACGTTTTCATTGCGGTAACGTCCGCACTTATTACATTACTTGTATTTTTACTCCGTTACCATCGGAGTTATAAGAAACCACTGAACCACCAGCACAAGTACCGATCTACATACAACTCAAAAGCATTTGTTCTAGGCAATCCAATGACTTGTGTTGAAGCTGTGTCGTCTGCCCCACACTGATAATTGGGGCCAGATATCAGAGGAAACGCTAGAGTGTAATCACATCTACCACGAAAATCCTTCACAGACTTAACTGTAGTTCGGAATCATTTATAGTTTTTACAAGTGCGCTCTCAGGCTTAGGCGCAGTAATCCTTCAAAACATGAGCATATCTCAAAATCAATGTTTTGTATCAAATACATCTTTTGTAGAGCTTCGAATACCACCCTGCAGAGCCTGAAGTGTTTACTCCAACAGGATATTCATCTCTGTAAAAAACTTTATTTCAACCATTGTTAACAAAAATAACAAAAAGACGCAACCCGCGTTTTCTCAGTTCTTGTGTTGTAAATACTTTCGAAGCTGATTTCGGAAAAAATGTATACTATAATTCAACGCTCCAAGCTTTACAAGGTGGTGCTCTCAAAACTTCAAAAAAACCTCATTCCAAAGAGCCATGAATTTATGGCTGCTACACTAAAAATTGATCGAGTGTTTTGTTTAAATTAAGAAGGTATCGGGTGAAAATGTAGTTGGGGGGTGCCAGCGCCCTTTTGTGCTCTGCGTCTCTGACACCGGCGGCAGAGTACATAGAGGTCGCAGAGGATGAATTCTCCCCTTCTAAAAGTTGGGGTAGGAGCTCCGGGGTGAGAGAGCTGATTATCTCGTGCAGAAAGCTGGGATGGGGTAAGAATTAAACATCCAACTGGTTCACCCACCCCGGAGCTCCTTCCCTAGCTTCAGGAAGGGGAGGAGCTCCGGGATGGGTGAGATGGTTAGATAGAGTAAGAAGTGAAGAGACGCAGAGCACAAAAGTGTCTGGCACCCCCCAACTACATTTTCACCAAGGTATCGATATAAACAATAAATTTCTAGACTTCAGTCAAAACTTTGCAAAAATCTCGTTGCCAACCTGTTCACAAGCGAACGTTTCCTCTGCTGTATAGGCACGTGCCTCGCGAACGATTTCTCAAGTCCTCTACGGCAGCAGCGGTTCTCCTGATTGGCTCACGGCACAGGCCGGGAAAGGTGCTGTTTATAAACTGAGGGGCGGCTGCGAAATTCGCTGTGGGACCGCAATACCGTAACACGCGCTCACGTGCTTAGTTGCAGCTGGCCTAAATTTAAAAGTGAAATGAAAGCCACCAGGATGGGGAATGGATGAAAGGAAAGGAGAGCACAACACCCAACACCTTCCTTTGAATGTACAGAAAAGGGAAGGTGTTGGGTTAGGCGCTTCACTCGACTGATTGAGCCGAAGACAGGTCTGTTATAAGAGCTCCTTTGAAGAAACTATTCACATTAAATTGGAACTTTAGGCATTGCGCCGTAGTTGAGAAATCATTTGTGCATGTGCGGACAGATTTGTTCCTTTTAGGAGTTATCATTATTATGAATCTTCCTCTAAACAACTAGGGTGTGGGTTGTGCTACCCCGGGAGTCATCATCGAGTGCCTGTCACTGCTTATACCACAACACGACTTTTGCTTTGAAAGTTCTACATCAAACTAACAGAAATTTTCAGAACTCGAATAGCTGTTTGTCGCCCTAACCTTACTGCTTATTACCTATTATTATAACCTACAACTGATACCCAACACCGTTCCTTTTCTGTACATTCCCCATCCTGGCGGCTTTCATTTCACTTTTAAATTTAGGCCGGCTGCAACTAAGCACATGGCGCGGGTTACGGTATTGCGGTCCCACAGCGAATTTCGCAGCCGCCCCTCAGTTTATAAATAGCACCGCCGGGAAAGGAGTCGATTTCTTGGCCAAATGCCAAACCTATTAACTGATTTCCCGATTGCCGGTGCCCATGGCCGCCCGTATGATGAGCTATTTCGCAACCTCCGCCGATACCTGCCGTCGAGGGTTAGGGAATTGGCCAATGAAGAAGAATGGTTGTGGAAAAAGAAAGTAAACAAAGTCCTTGCTTGAAGTGGTTATATGTATCAATTAATTGTATCTGTTCTAGAGTATTGAACAGTATACACTTTAATTCTACAACAGGGTTCTAGAATCGAAGTAGGTTAATCTTCAGCTCCACCCCCGTCTATTTTTTTTACCTCAAATGTGGCAGGGTATATGTAGGGTACTAGTATTCAGGGCCACACAGAGCAGGAAAAGTTCGCCTGTAATCAAATCGGCCAGAAAATTCCCCAACACTACTGACTCAAGGCCGGGATCTACAATTGATTTCACAGCTGCCTCTCAGACTTGAGTGAGATATCCCCTCGAACTTGGGAGTTTGCCACGAATTGAGATTCTTCGAATGGGAACTTTCTCCGAGTTTCGTGTGCCATCCTGTAGAGCACAGAAGGCTGATTCGAATCGAACACAGAACGCTTTTCGAAAACTTGGCTTTACCGGCTTATAGCAAAAGAAAAGACGAAGGGCCGTGGTTTTGCGTCTCTCGTGTAAACTCAAAATTTCTGATGACAGGTACTGTCGTTGGCTATTCCAGTGCAGGAAAAAGGTTCCACTCCCACCTCCGTTACCAAGACGGGATGTCGTCATCAAAAGCACTGACATGTGCACGGAAATGCAGCAGAAAGTCGTTTCAATCGTCTGCACCGCTTGCGAGAAGTATCGTGTTGAAAAGGTAGACAGTATTTAGTAAAACCTCTTTATATTGCATTTAGGATTTAGTCAAAAAAATATGAGCTCTCAGTTGCGATGATTGGGATAACGATCTGAAGCTTGTCCTTTCTCCCATGGAAAAATCAGTACAAAGGACCTAACTGGAGCCTGCGCCTATGATCCTCCTTCTTTTATTCATCCGCTACCTGAACTACATATCTGGGAATGGGGATTCCACCGAGGGATTACCACGAAGCAGAACATTGAAACCTTCTTCAAACCGTCCGTATTTCACAAGTTGTACAGCGTATTCATAAATGATTGCATAGCCATGATTGTGGCTAGAAATTTAACCTTCTTACCATTAGGCACTAATATCCCTTTCCTTCGGAGTTTTTGTGGAAAACTCTTCCCATCAGGCCGAGGCTCTTTTTCCATAGAAGAAGCCGACTTTCAGATGGTATGAGGCCAAAGGACATAGCCTTGTCCCTACACGGTCTCAGGATCGGCTGTCGATAATATGAACGTTTATACAGCTACGCTTACCAATTGGTAGGTCCAGTTCGCATTTCCGACCCTCGAGGCAGAAGCCGATGTTTTCAATCGCACTCCATCCTTTTATGTTGGATAGCTGGGTGTAGTAGCGCATTAATTCATGGTATGAGGCTCTTTCCTGAGGAGAACTTGTAATTAAAGGTGAATTCATGTGAAGAACTATCATTTGAGAAAGTTTACCTTACAGGAAATAGCGGCTTTCATCAAGCAGGAGATGGACAGGAGATTCTGCAATTCTTGGCACTGCGTCGTTGGAAGGAATTTCGGCTCCTATGTGACCCACGAAACGAACCATTTCATCTATCTCTATGTCAGAAACACTGCGGTAATGGTCTTCAGAACCGGATGTTGAATCCTTCACACTGCGATTTTGACAATCTTCACTTTTTCTGTGAAATTACTTTCTTAACTCGCAATTTGTATATCTGCTTCATTTACAAACCTCACAAGTAAGAAAGTAAAAGGAGTCGCTTTATTCTGTACAACAAACAATTACACTCAGAAACATTTCAAAATCATCATGATTATCGCAGGAAACAGGGGTACTGTAATAGAAGTGTTGCAGTAGTCCCGATCGTTGCAGAAACAGTAAAACCATCTGGAAACGAATGTATAACGTTATGCTCATATAATAGCAAGTACAGTAAAGTACAGTACCATCTTGTAAAGTACAAGTTACCGTACAGTTGAACAGCGCCTAGGTAGTAAGCCTAAGTTACAGAACACTTAAGATATAACTATTCAAATAGGTGGATGGCAGAAAGAAACTGATCCGCAATTTCTTCTAATGTATCAGTAAATATCCCACAAAAATCATGTACAACTTCAAAATACCTTTTGACCGGAGCTGATCCGTCTTGATACGGGAAACATGATCCGCTTTGAACATATGAGAGGTTCTGAGGATTGACTTGTAAATTGGCTTGATAATAACAGTCACTTTTGAATGTAACATATTCAACTCCCGGATTCATTGTGTCCAGTATCCTCACGCAGTACTGAAAGAAAATTACTCAAAAATCGAGAATGTGGTGAAATTATTCTTCTAAACAGACATTATTTGTTTCACAATGGTTGTTCCGGTTGTCACATGTGCTGGCCTGGGTGAACCTGAAAACAATTTTGTTAGAGTTGTATTGCAGTACTGGTAGCGCTAGAGGAAAAGAGAGTGAACAAGGATTGAATGTGCTTCAAAATTGGCCCACAATCGCTACTCTTGCATGGAAGTAGCAGTCGTATGGATAGGTCCCCACGTAGAATTCGACATTGGTCAACAATATAAAGTAATGGTAAAAAGCCTTAGAAGAACCCCAGGAGAGACAGGAAGATGAGTTCCGAAAGAGTTTTGGCGTGATATTTAATTTTCAGCCTTCCGTCCTTCCGAAATGGCGCCTTCGGTGCTGTTCTACAATATGAGCTGCGAGGCATGCCAAAATTTCATTATCCCGAAAGATTGTATTTTCAACTTCCCAGACGATTCAATATCATTAGATGATACCGAAGACGTTGGCAATTTGGTTGATCAAAATGATATTTGATCTCCGATATGATATCGATTGCGAGACTCACATTCCTGGGCAGCACTACTGTTGACAGCGACAAGAAAAACGAATAATATTTTTAAAAAAATGAAAAAATTGAGGAATTTCAAGACCTATTACCTCAACGGATAGCTGCCCAACCAACCATTGCACTGATGACACTTCAAGGAAAAGGTAGCTGAAAAGTTATGAACTATCTGCAAAAGTTAGCCAATTTTGAATAATGCGCTACTATTGAAACAATTAGCTTTCAAAAAAAGAAATAGTGGGAGAAATTCTCCTAACTCAAGAGATAATCACTAAAAATCGCCACAAAAAATTGAATGTAAGTTTTCGAACAGATGGTTGTCTCTATTTCATTGTTTAAACCTGGAGATTGAGGAATTCGTGAATTTGGAACCCACAGTTTTAAATTGAGCTATGTTGAAAATATTCTATTTACTTATCACCACAGTAAACAATAATGAAAATGATGTGGGATTTCGAAAGATTTGTTATCTTAACATATGTATCCTCGAAAAACTTACTTTTCAGGTTGAGAAGCAACGCAGTAAAAGTAAAGGCAAGTAGCTTCATTAAGCTTTATTTCCCATCAAATAGGCAGTTGGAATCAGCTTTAAAACAGTGGATGACTTCCCGACAGAGGTCAGATGTTCGACGCTCGTTGGAGTCCAGATGGTTTCAAAGCTCAGAAGAATACAACTCGTTGCCTGGCGATGACCCCAGCTGAATGAAAAATTCACGATGAGTTGTAGAGGCATCGCTTTGTGTCGAAGATTGACAGCCTTGAACCATTCCTTTTGGATTTCAATAGGAGATGGTGATCGGTCAAAGAATCGCAAGAATAGAGGAATTGATCTCGGATGTCAATACAGACCAGAATTGGCTATGAGTGGGAATGCTCGAGATAAATAACTTCCACTTCAACATATTGCAATAGAAATGGTCAGAAACTTATATTTAGCCTTTGAGTTCCGTTTTCTGTTCTTCCTAGGAAATGACTAGTACGGAAACTGCTTTAGGGTCAGGTTTTACGGGGAAGTGTCCCCCGAGAATACCGCAGTAGCCTAGAGTGCTCCCAGGAATTTCTGGAAGCTTCTATGAGATTTCTGTCCAAGAACGCTTCACACACTTAATGCATAACATATCCGGCTACCTGTTCATTGCTTATTCAAACTTGTAATGACCGAATTGTCTAATTAAATACTAATTAAATCCAACACTTACTTTGTTCCGAGTTCGAACCCGACCAGTCCGCTACTGGAACCCGTTAAAATTGGGTTATGCATTTGAGCTTGAAAACCTTCCGAAGTGGTTCTGTGCACACCTCACTCCAACGCTTCACAGTATGAAACAAAATTTTATTTATTTACTCGTTTTCGGTGCTCCTAGTGGACGTACTTCGACAACAGTGAGAGAAGTCCTACACTGTAAGGAGTTGGCAACACGTAAGGAAAAACATAAATCTAAACAACATGAAAGAGGTATGCGAAAAGAACGACAAAGTCAACATCTAGATCAGGAACGAAAACCACCGAGAACCTAAGCAAGCAAGTCAAAGACGAACCTCTACCTGATCAACCGATATCATGAAATCTCCTAATATTTTATGTGCTTACAAATGTGTAGTGTCCTTTCAGAGTATTTCTATGAAAGAGTATTCTTCCAGAAAATCTCGGAAGAAATCTGGACTGTTGCGAAATATTTGGAGAATACTTTACGATCAGCCTGAAGCCAGTAACTCCGGCTCAAATACTATTTCAGTCCGATTGGAATATTTGACAGTGCCTGTATGACCAAATATGGTACCACCTCATTCGGTAGGTTCCCTTGCCGGTTTTTTTGTTGCTCTCCTCTCCTCAAGCCAGTAGGACTAATGCCTGCCTCACTTGATGCAATCAAAAGAAATGGCTCGATCTTCAAGTGATCGCTGCCGACATTTCTCAGTGATTTGAAGCGATAACTATTCTTTTCCTTGCCCTTCCTCGGATACGATCTTACATCACAGCCAGAATAAAAGTATTGCTACGTGCATATTAGAATCTGTTTACCAGCTTGAAGTCGAATCACCCAAGTTTTTGTCCTATTACGTGTCCCGTTATCAAGACAGAATAACACCCTTATCGCATGCTAACCGCTTCCCTTATAAAGATGACACTGAATTGCATTAAAAATGGATGCCTTACATATTTCAGGGCCTAACTATGCAGTTTGCGGGGTTTTTCAGTTGTAAAACCATCATAATGCGTTCGGTCACGTATCTTTCTTAAAAACTTGGTTACGTGACTATCCGAACTTTTTCTGCGTCCCTGACAACGAAAGGTTAGAGCGCAGAGAAAAGTAAACTGGGTGAGGCTATTGGGAGAGGAGGGGACTGCGACAGGCAAGGGCAGAAAAATGGGCGCAGCTGGCACGTCCAAAGGAACCTAGTTCAAGGAGCCCGTAGCCCGCAGAGCCCTAAATTTTTGCAAGCGTACCTACTGGATCCTACAAAACGCCCTTTTCCCGCCACTAGGCTGCTTAAACTGACTAGTTTCAAGGTAACCAGTGAGCCTGAATACACAACCTTATCTGACACAATAGTGAAACATTTCCTCTCTGTTGCAGCGCAAACAGCACAGGGAGTGATCATGAACACGTGGCGACGCGCACATTCGTCGCGCGCGGCACCGCTCCAGGTACCCATCCCCGATTGTTTTGGCCAAGCGCTCAGACCTACAAACTCCTGGTTGTGACCCTGCTCAGATAAAAAACTAAGGTATCAAAATTCATTATTACTCAAAGAATGAGTTTGATTAAAATCTATAACCATTTTTTTATGCGTACTAGTTATATTCAAATACCCCATACTTCCTTCCTAGCTAGAGCAACGCACTCCAAAGCCCGTTTTCATCGAAAAACCGCCAGTTTCTTTTCTTCGAAAGAAAAAAGAACGAATTTAGTGTTCAACAGAAGTGATAGGGAATCTGGTTGGTTTGGGATTATCGAAAAATCAGTAGAAAATCTGCTGTATGTGACACTGATTAGGCCCCGCTTTATCTTATCACAATTGAACCGACCAAGAATGTTCATCCAATGATAATATCGATCATTCTATTCACAGATAAGTTAATCCACAATCACAAAACGTTTCAGTGAATAATGTAATCACAGTCCTTTCCAATGTAAATCACTAATAATGCACTTCTACCCAGTACACAACACCAGCACAGTGAACTTATGATACAGAATCGAGTAATAAGTAGTAGTAATAATGCCAGTTATATTGAAAATGCATTATAATGCATTGGGGGATTATCTGAGAGCTAAGATAACATAATAAAACTTTCAATATAACAATTTTGGCTTTTGGTACTGAGGTAGGTCCCTAGCCATACAACCATTTTAGGGTAGATGTGTAAGCAAGAGAACTGATAGCCTCTTCTTGAATAAAATAGTAAGATGAACTTAGAGCTCATGTATAAATAACTAAATACTAGACCGAAATAAGTAAACATTTACAAAGAACCATGAGTGAAAAGTGATTAAAACGAGCGAATCATTGGTCTGCTTCCGTGACAAGGGCATCGTCGTCCAAAATGGCAACCTGGTCGGGATCTGAAATCAATAGATCAACGGCTGTGTTATGACCACTCAGAGGCAGCGTAAAATTAAGCGAAAAGGGGAAAGGAGGTATAATTTTCCTTTCTGATCGACTATCAACGATGTAATGCGAATAAGGACATCGAGATAAATACAGGGAAAGGCAGCAACAATAATCACAATAACAACAACAGCAACACAAAACTTTACGCTGATCGCACAAATGTGCGAGGGGTCCAGCGGTATGTGTACGTAACTAAGAGTGCAAGTCATATCTCCCGTTCGGTCAGATCGACAATTCATACAAGAATACCTGATAGAGAGTCAAATCGATAAACCTACGATATGGATGACATCACTTTTGATGCCCTCAAATGTAAGCGAGTTTTTCTTCTATTTAGAACAGTTTTAGAGTTGTAAAAAAAGTTCCAATGGAAATAGTGGAAATGTAGTTGGAGGGGTCACTCCACTGTGATCTGTGTCTCTAACGTTAATGGCTAGAGCGCAGAGAAAGAGAACGCGCAGACTCTGCGGTACTTGGAACATTCAGTGCCAGACGGCGAGTGAAAAGTTGACCCTATGCGAAAAGCTGGAGTGGAAAAGGGATTTTCCAGTAAGGTTATCTCACGGAGAGAAAAGAGACAAAGGTGCGAAAACAAGTGACTTCCTCCAATACAGTTTCCGCAGGGTTTTTTGATTGTCGTCTAAAAACAACAAGCAAATTGTCATAGATTGAATCACGATGACCACTGCGAGATCTGATAGCACGGAAGATATGATCGTCTTCTACTGGAATGATCGTGTCCCACTGGACTATCTGGTAAAGACAATGGGTAACGACAGTAAAAATGACAGCGACTGATCGTAGCAGCGCACCGGCTTAAACTCTGTCTTCAAAGCCGGGGTGAAAACAAAATGGACATTACTGTGATGAATGATTTCAATTTTTAATAAAATTAAGCTAAAAATCGTAAGAGGTAACAATATGGGGCAGCTTTTTGGATCGGGTGCATCCGAGGGCATCGTATCAAGGGTGTGGGTCTTCTACCCGAACGGCGTGCCGCGCTTGCCGCATCCGATCGCGCGCTGAGTGCCGCGAAATCACTGCCGTGGAAAATCGGGTAGAAAGACCGCCACCCTTTTTATCCATAATCGGTAAAAACAGAGGTATAAAAAGCGCGAGAGGGAATTTAGGCGCTTACCTTAGAATTTCACGGAGCTCAATGTTGTTATGAAGAAGGAGACTAATTGTGGTTGGCCGCTTCAAAAAGTGCCATAAGTTAGTGATCTGTACCGAATCTTTGTCTTTTCGCGGTATACGAATTCCCAATTGAGAGATTTGTTCTCTACTTGTATCAGATAGCCGAACAGTGGTGATAAACTCTTTGACGTCAACGGAACTTCCTATCATTGAGAGGACTGGCCACAATATCGCCCAGTCATTTCATTGTTACTTCTTATGTAGTACCTAGTTATAGTAGAGTCTAATTGTGGACATTTTTGTCTACTTATCTTCTCTACTTTCCGTGTCTACTGAGCCGAACCCGGTTTGGAGGAGCAGCAACCTTGCTAAAACCATTATTCTTACTACTTGACTGATGCCCACCTCCGATGCTTTCAGTTCCGCAAAAAATTGCTGATAGGACCATTAGGCAAGTGCCATCTGTCCACAAAATGACGCTCAAAATGATAAAACTAGGGTGAATGCTGCAAGAGAGGTAGGATCGAAGCTTATGCGAGATTCCTTAACAGCTCACACTCATAGCCATCTTAGCACAGGCACTTCCTCTTCTGGTTAAATTCTGGTTCTGGTTAATTTGACTTTTTTGGTTACTAGGACGTGGAAAGCCCAAAAGTATGCATCGAAGTCAAAGGCGCAGTATACTGCACAATAGGCAGATCAAATTCAAAAAGTTCATCGAAGTTTTCTGGCCATCTGATATGATTGAATATGAACCATTTCCTTTACATCAACAATACATTTTTAAGCAATTCGCACGCCATTTTGAGATTATTTGACTATGGCAAACTGGCACGAAAATGAACTGTAATACTGTTCTCGAGAAAATAATTAATCAGCCATGGCATCCTACGTGAACCCAAACAGAACCATCTTAGAGAATTAATGATAATACTTACTAATAGTTGCTCCCCTTCTTCGACCGATTTTTGATGGTACAAGTGTCACAAGAACCAAGAGTGCCACTACAAGAGTGCCTCCTGGGACGTACACCATAATCGTTCGGTAGAACTTCTGGCACGCACCATGTGGCTCAGTCGGACTGAACAGTACTCGTGTAGTATATTTTGAAACAACAAAAAAATGCTGCTAAATCAGCTGAGAAAAAAAAAAACGAAACCTACTCGCATGACGGATTCCACAGTTCAATAATCTGGTAAGCAATACCGTTGGCAAGTTTATCAACGAAACTCATCGCACCGTAAACAAATGCACCACTCTCCTAAGTATAAGTTGAGTAAAATGCCGAGAATTCAAGACGGATAATTAGAGAGGCTCGCTTACCGTATTCCTATTGATCAAATCGGCAGTGATAGAGAGTGATGTCACAAGTAGAATGGACTGAGCAGCACCTATAACGGACTAAGCTTCACAAAGTACAACTGGAACTATCCGTGTAGTAGTGGTGTCGGAAGTATCTGCCCAAATCACACAGCAGTCCAGATTTCTACTAGGGTTGCGCATAACATATCAGGAAATTTCATATCACAATAGGGTGAGCAGTCCAAAGTTCATCTTCGACCTTTTTGTTTGAGGCTGCGAAGTGATGGAACGTGGTGGGCACAGAAGCGCTCGAACAAGGCTTTGACGACAAACGCTTGACACAAGTTGAATGGGTTTCAGCAACGGAAAAGACGGATTCGAACTCGTCAGGAGTGTGTGGGTAGACATTTCGGTCATTATATGATCAAAAGATCAAGATAGAGGAAGCCGTATATATTATTCGTGTATGCGGGGGTGGTGTCCTCAAACAGGAACACCGTCGAAACTCTCAGAAAATCCCAGGAGGAATTCGAACTATTGAGAAATTTTCTGCAAATATCTTCCACGCAACCTAGTAAATATGTTGTTCACTCAAAGAAAACTACTTCTGAGCGTCTTGCTAAGAAAAGAGAACAAGGTTGTTCACTTTAAATCTTCAATGTGAGTTTAATAAAGTTTCACTTTCAATCTACAGTTAAGAATTTCAGGTAAAGTGCACAGGAAAAAATGAACTCATAAATTACCCATAAGGGCTGACACAATGTACATTTGCCATAGAGGTAGATCAAACAGCATCCAAACGCATACTCCTATGCCGATCACCAATCCAAGGAAGAATAAAAACTGAAAGTGGAAATAGTTCAGCCAAAAAATAAATTTTTTATTTAAACTATTTAGCATCAAAAGGGCAATAAATGGGCATAATATTCTGGACAAAAAGGAACAAGCGATTCGAAAATACCTTGCGGTTGATCAACGTATTCAAACAGGGTAATCCATTGATAGTTGACAGTAAAAATGAAGAAATATAACAGATCATGGGAAGTATTGCAACATATTCCTAAAAAGTTTGAATCCCGTCGGTATCAGTAACTTCCGATAACAAAGAGTAAAAGAAAATGAATTTCACTCCGAGTACGAGGAAGTTTAGAGATTGGAAACGGATCACCAAAAAACACTGGCAACTTCCCATCACCAAGCTGTTGAGGTGTACAGTACTAAAGTAGGCCTACCAATCCAGTCCTTGTATGACATACTTGACTGGATGATTGTGTTGACTATAAATTATTGATTACTCCGGATAATGATGTTCCATGACTGATGGGTTGAACCATTGCAAATCAAAGCAATTTGTTCTGCTAAGGAGGAGTTGAAGAAGTTCTAACAAGCATCGCTTCCATTCGTATGGTACGGGGATCGAACTCCACGGATTAATGCAGGTAGTTGCTAATCAGACTCTCTCGGAACAATCAAAGTACCATCTTGTTCAATGGCTAAACTCATTGTAGCTTTCACAGACCACCCATTCTCTAATACATTGCAAACGACTAACACCACGATACAGGTTTCAATGTATTTCATCTTCGGTTGAACTATCGAGACTAGCACAAGTTTAAACCGCCAACTTGCGCCAAAAATTCACCAAATATAACGCTACAGTCCGAATATTGTAGTTGAAACTTTAGTTTCCACATAAAGGAAAATCTGCTGCGGTAGAACCTGCTGTTCACAGACTCAAAGGGCAAAAAATAACATGCATGGTGGCTCATAAAGTGGCTTAGTCGCTTGTGGATCAGTTGTGGAAGATCATCGATAAGAAGGAAAACGGAAAAATGTATAAATATGTACTATATGTATATATGATTTTTACAAAATCATGGTCCTCCCATCCCTAACCAAAAAGAACTGAACAAAATTCGTTTCCATTTATCATCCTTCAACTCTGAATGTGCTTAAATCAAAACAAAACCGATATCAGTTTTAACCAATTTCCACAGCTCCTATATTTGGAAGTTTCAGGTTACAGGGCTGTTGTCAACTAGAATTTCTCTCGCTGAGAGGATCAGACGGCGAGGCAATCTCTGCGTCTCGTGTTCACCAGCGGGAGGGGGCGTGTCCGCTCGTTGTCCGTACTCTCCTTCAGAGCACTCTCTCGTCAAGGGTAGACACTAGACACTGTTCCAGGAGTCGAAAAACTTTCAGAAAGACAGCTTTCTTCCAACTGGGGAAACTTCGTATTTCGAAGTTCAGGTAGTCTGAGAGAAGGAAAGGCTTGATCTTTGTCTAAATATTAATAAAAGGTCTGCATAGAACATCCACACCGTGAAAAATCCATTTGGCTTGTAGAATACCCAAGTTTGCAATCTGTTCGCTACTTTGTTTTTATGGGAAGCAGCGCTGAAATCAACAATATCGTTTAAAGAACAGCAACACCATTGATCCGATCTTAACCCGACAGTGTTCGCTCGGTATCCCATTGTATCACTAGTAACAGGAACAGGAGGCATTGAAGAATGGCGAGCTCTTCCGTCTGCCCTCTATCCCTTCACGGTGAGGTGCCTATTCGAGGAGACGCAGAGAAGACGACAAAAACGCTGAGTCACTACACAAGCGGTTGACAACGGTCCTGTAACCGNCAGAGCACTCTCTCGTCAAGGGTAGACACTAGACACTGTTCCAGGAGTCGAAAAACTTTCAGAAAGACAGCTTTCTTCCAACTGGGGAAACTTCGTATTTCGAAGTTCAGGTAGTCTGAGAGAAGGAAAGGCTTGATCTTTGTCTAAATATTAATAAAAGGTCTGCATAGAACATCCACACCGTGAAAAATCCATTTGGCTTGTAGAATACCCAAGTTTGCAATCTGTTCGCTACTTTGTTTTTATGGGAAGCAGCGCTGAAATCAACAATATCGTTTAAAGAACAGCAACACCATTGATCCGATCTTAACCCGACAGTGTTCGCTCGGTATCCCATTGTATCACTAGTAACAGGAACAGGAGGCATTGAAGAATGGCGAGCTCTTCCGTCTGCCCTCTATCCCTTCACGGTGAGGTGCCTATTCGAGGAGACGCAGAGAAGACGACAAAAACGCTGAGTCACTACACAAGCGGTTGACAACGGTCCTGTAACCGAAGTTTTACAGCAATAGCGGAATGCGGCTTTTACAAATGGAATGACGGATGCCTTATGGAATTAGTTTATAGATAAGATAATGATTGACGCTCTTTGACACCTCCTTATCGCTATCGATTAGTTTATGATTGTTATATTAAATACTGATAAACGAATAGATGAGTCAGCTCCAACTTCACATAGAAACGAAAAAGGAAAAGCAAAACGATAACAATACGTGACGATCTCAAGATTGCTTGCAGTATGGTATGCAAAAGTCTCACGAGGATGGCGAGTTGTGGGTAAAACTCAAAACTTCGGCCTCAGAGGGGGGCTCGATCCCATACCTGTGCCTTACGGACACCGCGGTCTTTACCCTTCCCTCTACATATGGGAACTCGCCATCCTTGTGAGGTATCGATACTTCAGCTTTGAAGCTCAGAATTCAAAAACTGTATTGGATTCATTGAACAAAGCTGACTGAAACTTGCAAAATAACTAAAATCACATACCTTACTGTAGTTCTGAGTTAGTGTAATATAAAAAGGAAAGTATACTTGCGAAACATTGACATTCAAACGTGACAACATATACAGTAAGCCAATCTGAAAACAGTAATTATAGTAACGATTACATTAGGTTGGCAACTGAGCAATTGTGCATTTTCCTAGATGTCTTACATTCATAGAAAGTATTTTATTTACACTATATAACTGAATAAATACTTCTTTTATTGTAGAAAAGGTGATTATATTTGTTCAGAATACACGCAATTACTTAGTTGCCAACCTAACAGATCATGAGAATGAGCACTATACCTGGTAAAATTGCAGATATCCAAACCAACTCGTCCAATGCATTTTCATTAGTTCACTTGCGCTAGACGAAATCGAGCTTACACGACTGAAATAGAAAGATATGGAATGGATGAGAGAAAATGGGAGAGGTTGGGTTATTCCTTACCTCAACCTTCGACCAAACTTTGGTTCACGAACCATAGCATAGAACAAGAAGGTAACCAGTAGTCCACCACCAACAACGATGAAGCCGGCATTCTAAACGGATGAGAAGACAATTTTTTGGATTGAACGTAGTCAGCACTCCGTTCCCAGAAAGGTCAGAGCATAAAAGGAATAAATGCTTCAAAGAATTCGGGGAGACGCCCTTCTCTTCTCTTTCACTTTGTTGCATTTTTTCCTCTTCCCTCCTTTCTATCTTTCTATTTCTGCTCTTATTTCCTTTTTCTCACACCAGCAGAAGCTATCAATCAGGTGAGAGGGGGTCTCTCACGTGATTGATGGAAAAGGCTTATAAGAAAGAAAACAGAACTAACCTGGAAATGCTTGAAATCGTATGGGCCAATTTCCGAATGTTCAGAGCTTTGAGAAAGGAATAGGGCTATCATGATAAATACCGTCACATTTGCGACAACAGTGAAAGAATACCTACAAGTAGAAAAGTGACATCATACATGGAAAATACAGAATACCAATTAACTCCACCTTAAAGAATTCATTGTAGTTCGACTACTATCGAGCGAGGACAGTTCAGGTATTAGTGCTAGATGTGCGATCTAAAAAGCCTGTTAAGAAGACACACAAAAACAGAAAAAAGAGGGTAAAATCTTACCTGCACGGATGCCCAACCAAATTGAAAAAGCATTATGAACGGTACAAACCACAGGACTTTGTACCATTCGGAGCCCGAATCAGAGCACACAAAACAGCGGTTAAAAATGAACGGGAACGAGAACGTCACACATAATGTACCTTAAGATCCTTTCATCTGCTCTCTACGAAAGCTGTTAGAACTAAAAGCGAAATAGCTACTTTAAAGATATATTTGAGAAAAGGAGGTTAAGAGCAAGGGCCACGCTCGACAAGACTCCTACCTAGTAACTCAATCTACAAGTTACGTAAACTTGTGCCAAAAACTAGACGCACCTATTATATGCCATGACATTCGCCGACCAATTTTATCAAACCACTTCGGTAACATGCTGGAGTCGCTGGCAATTCCAACAAGGGGGGTCGAAATGGCATCGGTGACCTGTAAAATGAGCAAAGGATAACGAGAATTGATATTCGTTCACAGATCAAAACAAAGGGGAAATCGGGTTAAGATTTAAAAACTTCAAAAAAAAAAAAACAACAGCAGGAAATCGAAACACACGGAACTTCATCCAAACGGCTTTGGCATTCAACGTAGTTTTACTCTTTCGAGAAAACCATGCTGATGACACGAGACAGACAGATGTATAAAAGGGAATGGCATACACGTGAAACATCACTTTGGAAGGTAGACGTAGGATTAAGGGAAACTCAGGTGAGGCTCAAGATGCGGAAAAAACGATGAGCTTGATAGCATGGAACTGCCCAAGCCTGGAATTGAGAACTTTGAGGGCATAAAGGTAGAGCGGATTATCGTTTAAGGAAATGTGTGAGCTGCGGTACTCAAATGGAGATGATCAGCTCGTAGCGTAGCTGACAAAACAAAGGTACCAAATCCAAGCTATGTACGAATATATGGCGCAATGAACTCACCTGGCCGATAAGCATCAACAGACCCGCTTTCGAGCTTTGAATTCTTAGGACTTTTTCAAGATAGATCATTAAGTACGTGAACCACATACTAGCACATAAATCATTGTAGTAATGGCCAAATCCTGAAGAAAGAAAAAAACAAGTCAGTGTGGAACTGTAGCATGTGGGTTAACAGGCTGATGTGCTACATACCGTATCCCAACTTCCTCCACCATTCGATGTCATGCTCACGTCTTGCTCGACGGGACGGATAGGCCTGAAAAAGGGTCAGTAGGCAGATACGACCTGACAAACATCAGCATAAGTACCTAACAGAAGTCGAAGGAGTTTAAGTAGAAGCAAAAGTCAAGATTGGATTGGGCAATGAAATTCAGTTGATTACCCCACTCTTAGGTTTGAAGTAGTATCTTCAAGGAATTCGGAAAGAATGTTTTTTCAGTCGCCTGCAGTTCCTCTCACCCACGACGTCCCGAAAGGGGCCATGCCTAGTGGAATGTCCGTGCCCGCCAATTTCACACCCAATGACAACTGCAGAAGGGCGGTCAATTCTATGAATTACTTCCTTATACAGTACAATTACTTACAATTTGCCTTAAAGGATAATCATAACAAGTACTATGTAACGAAAAAGCATAACCTCTGGAAACAGGAAAACTTTTTATAGAGCAACATTATGAGGTCTACTCACTTATCCTGTCCCTACCACCTGCAACCTTCAGGGCAGACAAAGTTTGGTAACCACTAACCAAAGCCGAGATGATAACAATCATCAACTTATGTTGAATATTAGTAAAAAAAGGAATAAACGAGCACCTGGATGTCGTTGTCGGTGCGTACCGGCATGACGGTGCCCCCGTCGTCCATGATTGCTCTTAGCTCTATAAATTTAAGTTTAAATTTTGATGAAAATAACCTGCACAGAGCACCCGACGAACTTGAAAAAACGACTGAGCGTTACTAGAACCAAAATCGATAGTAAATCACGAGGGCGGACTAAATAGTCGAAAAAAGTAAAAATGATAAGGAAATGGTTAGACAAATGTGAAATCTGAAATGGAGCACGAAATCACTCGTAGGGCACGAATACTTGAAGTGTTTATAATACCATACTGAATGAATTTGATCATACAAACAAGGACGATCTAGAGAAATGGGAACGATCGATGTCGTTGCGGTTTCCATCGGTGGGTGTGAGACTAATCGATCGGAACTTGTCGAAAACGAAACCCGACGATTTAGTCGCTCACTGTTTGTGAGTCATTCTTCCGCCTTGCTTAGCTCATTGTTTACGCAATCGATAGAGTAAAGTAAACAGCGTTGAGCATTGTTGTAACATGCGTCTAACGCGGAAGATCACCTGTCTACACAGTTCACGAAGTTCATGTTTCTTACACGCTTGTATCTATCGCTCCTAAACTAGCCTTTAAATGCATCAGATTTTGCTAAAAACCATCAAAAGTAATAACTAATAGAGGAATGGGAACTTTACGGTGATGAATATCAATGCGGTTTCCATCAGTGGGTGTGAAAAGTAATAACTGAAGCTATGAGTTCGAGTCCCGTTCGAGACCGAATTCTTGCCGACAACCGCCATCTTTGCGATGGCCAAGAGTTGTAATGGGTAGGCTCGCATTTCAGACAGTACCACCTACACAAAGTCCATTAAATATGGGCTCCAAAAAAGCTGCAGGAACGTGGTCTCTACTGATACGAGGTTTCGGAGAATTCGGGCTGTCCTACGTTGAATTTTCCTCATTCGTTTGACCCGTCGACTTAGATCCAATAAAGAACTGCCGTCCTGGTCATAGAACTCTCTTTCGGATCCCTCTCGAGCCATGTCCGAATCCTAAAATCAACCTCTATCACAGGAGGCGATTTCCTAATGATATCTTGATCAGCTTCAGCTCACACATAAATATTGTTTATGTTGTTGCTGCTGTTGTTGCTAATTACGCTTGAAACTTCATTGATAATCACTAGCCCCTTCGTTCGATTATCCTGCTCCCAAATGATGATCCTACTGCCTCTGTCCTACGTACTTCAGGAATCGCAGGACAACTGCTGCTCAGTACTGTGGTTGCCCATCGATTTCAGGAATTGAGCATTTCTCTGCGCTGAACTTCAAGAATCTTTTTATAGTCCCTTTTCTTGCTCCTAAATTTGCTTTTCTCCAAATGCTATATTGTGTATCGTCTCTTCTGCATATAAAGGAGGTATACCAGTAAATCGAGGAGCACCTATGAAATAAGTTCTTCTGGCATTCTTTCAGCGCCTAATTCGAGAACAAGTGGAGGCACTCTAGCTTTCATAGTTGAAGCTTTGTGTTCCTATGAGATACAATTATGAATTACCTGTTACTACTGTTAAGTTCCTCTATTTATGATTCATCATCTGATTACTATCCGAGACCGAGTTTCTCGTGCTTTGCGTACAAACTCCACCTAGCTAATTTGCAAAACCGGTTCGAATTCCGGCGACAAAATGGCAACTTCACCAAATCGAAGAGAATTCCCTTTCCTAACCCTGAACTTACTGTCCAGCTATCTATTTCAGCGAGTTGACCTATCTGTTTTTATAATGCGTTTGACCTCCATGTTGTTTATTTCATTTGTATAATTTCATTTCTTTCTATTTAGATGTATATATGAATATTTAGTCAGTGAGTGACAATAAGTGTTATAATATCCTCGACTTTCGTGCTCATTTGATATCTATGAACTTACTACGACCTGGTACTTGTCTTACAGTGGGTATTACCAGGTAAAGAGAGAACCTCTTTCTAGTTGGAATCAATATGTACCAGATGTTCTTGTTAACTGCGGTTTTCTGTTACAGTACCTGAAGCGAAAGGTTAGAAGTGGCAAATTTCGAGGAGAAACCTACGCCGTAGGTGGGACTTGAACCCGTACTTGTGCTTTTCTGGCACCCTTATCCCTTACAATCCCGATACTGACAGGCGTTCTGTTCACAGTTCGCTATCCCCGTGTAGACTGTATTGAGCGTATCAGGAGAACGGAAGTTCATGGCCTTTTGAATATGATAGCATTCAGTTCTCAAAATTTTAAACGGACTTGCATTCAGAAAAGTCGGATTGAAATCGTGGGAAACAGTTGAAAATTGGTTCTCTAATGTGATGAATGCAGATGAAATTTGTTGTAGAATTTTTGAGATGCTTCGTCTATATTTACTGCTTCCTCTCTTTCATAGTGGCTTAAGAGGGTTAGCTAATGTATGACTTACTGCACTCAACTAGCCTCCCAACGTGACCTAATAGTAGGTTAAAAAATTGACGATACGAATATTTGGTTGCTTGAACTTTAACTTTATGTACGTCAAGTGGAATAAGAAATTCTGGATGGCTGGAGCTTGAGTCAAAGTGTGCCAAGCACATCAGAACTGAGCAGTTGTGCATAGGTACCAGATGAGTTGTAATAATAAGCCGGTTCCTAAGCGGGCAGGAGCAGGAAAACGGGCAAAGCTGCTCTGAAATTGTGAGTTTCAGAGGGAAATCGTAGTAAGTAGTCGTTGTGCAGAGAATCGAGGCCTATCAAGAGCGATCTTGGCTCCTAGATCAGCATCTGGGACAACGTTGCACTGATGCTGCCACTAAAAGCCGTTTCAGAAAAGGGATGGTAGAGGAGTTTCAGGAGTCTATAGAAATTGCTTCACTACTGGGAATGAGTGGAAATAAGGGACACATATAATTGAGTAGCACCCGGGTTCACCTATCGTCTCCTTCAACCTTACTGAAACATAAAGTTCTTGCTTGTATTTACACGTACTTATTTATTTATATATTTACAACTCCTGATTGAGTCTCTTGAAGAATCGAAATCGATTTTGCGTGTGCTGAATGGCTGTAAAAGTGTCCTTTATTGACACGTGACCGATTTTTCAATTTTTATGGTCCTTTGTTTCAAGGTCATTGAATAATTGTATCGTAGTTGCTTTTGCGATATCATAAATCGACTGGAACATCAAAGAGGGACAAGGGCCCCTGAAAGCATGTGAAGCCATCTCATCGTCCTCCTTGTCTGTGGTAAAGTTATTCAAGGGGCACTAGAAACACCTCACTGGAATAGTCTTTCGAGTTTCTGAGATACAAAACAGCACTCAACGGACAGGCTAGGGATCTTGGTCGTATATTACTGCTACTGTCCTATTACTGTCCTCTTGCTCTACTTCAGAGACGCGAAAAATAGAGGTGAAGGAGCTGATCGTTGAGGATGGCATTCGGGTAAAGAAATTCCTCACTTCTTATTTTAATTCATTTGTCACAGTGATGATCCATTACTTCGAATAAGATCTGTGATCCTCATGTAGGCGAGCAAGAACCTTTTCTTTTTCACTAGCCGGACTGACCGTCATTTGCTCCCAACTCGCCCAACCTTGTGAAGACTGTATTGAACGTATCGGGAAAAAATCATTTGTATGTAAGGGGATAAAAAGTTTCGTACGATGGATTCCAAGTGAGATCTGGCTCAGAGAAGGTCAGACACAGAGCACTCGGAGGGCCAAGCGTTCGACAGTTCGCTAACTTTGACAGCGATGCCAAGTGAATGTGTGACCTATAACAAAATAATTTTTTTTATGTTGATGTTATCTGACATTGAAAGCACTTATGAAGGGCTATTCTTGAATCAACGGCCTACCGTTTCGACGTAGTCTCCTCAGAGCCTAACGCAAACGACAAAGCCAAAGCTGAAACAACGGATAAGTTGTAAAATTTTTAATTCTAATTTCACAGAAGGGGTATAGTGAAAAGCTGGTTCGTCTCTACATCCGCAATAGAAGGTCCTTGAGAAGCTTCTCCATTTCTACCTTTCATTTCTCCGGCCTTGGTCAATGGTTGCTCGTGTTCAATCCCGTAAACAGTAATAATGATTGCCAAATGGGTATTTAGAGGCCACAGCGATTCTGAGTGAAATGCAAGTACATGGCGCATTCTGGAACGAGTTTCCGTGTTATACAGTTGGTGCTCCTTCATGGGCTTGAATTCTTGCAGCTTGTGTCCACTGTCACCTCGGTGAAGTGAAGTAGAAATGATGCGTAAGGTCAAACATCAGGCCACTTCTAACTAACTGCTCTTTGACGGTTACAATCATTGAACAAAGTGTTGATGGAGACCTGGTTTAAACTGTCTGGGCGACTATACTCTATTCAGACAACTTTCTGAAACAGTGGAGTTTGAAATACAGTGTGATATTCTATGGAAAATGTTCTATGCCATATTTCCCGTTGTCTATTCTCCATTTGGCTGGCCAACCACGCTCCATGCTATGCTGAACTGAATGTCACGCACCTGTACCCTATCTTATCACCGGGTGTACCCTGGGTGTTGTGTGTCTGCCTATTGAAGACGCTCGCATATTGATCTCACCGTGGATTCTCATCCTGCCCTAAAATACTCGTTTATTTATCGAGTAGACTATCGATTTAATGATATGACCAGTTGCAATTGTTGATGGAACTGTAGAACCAGTTTTAAGAATTTCTTCTCCCACATAACTCTATTGTTAAATTCTCTGTCATGTTACAAATTTGTTCTGTTTTGCTGGACTGCTTTAAATTACTTTCAAAAATTACAGAGAAAGAGTTACGCAGCGATGACCCTGGATTACATCCTTATTTGACAATGTTTTTCTCGTCATTCCAGAGGAACATCGTGATTTTTTTCTAGCTGTTAGTGGCAAGGAATTTATTATTCCAGTTTTTTCAAGGAAAAATTGGTTCACAAAAATGACCTGCACACATTTTTCTTAGCCAGTATCATTTGCGAGTAATAGCGATTGATAGATATATCGATTGATGGTGAAGACATAGCACTTGGCTGCGACAATGATGACATCGAATGACATGGCAGTTCATCAGCAACCCTGATAAGAACAGGACACAAAAGTTTCAAACATCCACAACGACCCTTCATCTTTTGCTGACTCGAAAAATCAGTTTCATTTTGCAAAATTGGACACCGATATACTCGCTCATTGATGTTTGCCACCCAGACAGCTCCGGAACGTTGCATGTACATTTTCAGTTGCTTAGGACTTTCTTGCCCCTTTAATCGTCTCTTTTCATAGTTTCCAACATTCTTATTAGATTTTCATGATTTCCATGAAATTTTTCACTACAAAGGACTACCCGAAAATCTTTTAAAAAGATGTAAAAAATTATCGGAGAATCGCAAAATTATAGACTTACCTTCAGCGTTTTAGAAATTTTGCAAACCCTTTTTAGTGGTACTTGTGATGTGAAGGGGTCAGATTTTTGTGAGAAACACAAATCACGTGAGATCATGTGAGACAGATCATTTCCAAAAGATAATGCAAGGGTATAAAATTTCCCAGAGCATATTTCAAAATTCTACTCAGTCACTTTTCTGGCTTTTAAGACGTTTTCTGTTAACCGAATCTATGAGCGAACACCTTCTCCTATGTGAAATTCCCTTCTCTGTTGAACATTTTTGAGCTGTTTAGTTTGCTAGATGACTCAGGATTTATTGCGAAAAACTGATAAGTGTTTGCTCGACTGATACTTACCTTCTATGAAAATGAAAACTCGATGTATCGTTCTGGTCTAGCGATTTGGGGTTAGAAGTTCTTAATCATGGAGCATCTGGCTGTGGATTTTTGGTCCTTGTATGGGGAAAGGCTAAAGAAGATGGGGTTTTGTCAGGTATGATGGGTCTACAAGAAGAATTAATATGGGAGAAAATTTCTTTTACGTGAAGCAAAACTTCAATGTGCGTCTGCCATCTTTTTCTTGAAAAATTGTAGCTATTTCCAAAACATTGGTTTAAGGGGTTTGTGATTTGGATTCTTTCTCCGACTGGGCCACCCACTACCTCGAAAGTAAGTAATAACCCATCCAAAGGACTACTATGAAAACAGTGCAACTGTTTTAGGAGCCTGAAAAAATAGTTCGGACAATAAGCTCCTAGTAAGAGGCGAACCTACTTTGCGGCCGACTAGATTGGATACCATGTACGTGGGATCAGCCTGTAAACTTGCATTTTTCGAGTGATAGGCTGCCCTGAAAAGGGGTGGACGAAGTAGTCATGTTTATGCTTCGGCCTGATAAGAATAACTTTCACCGAACTAACAAGTAACTACCAATTAGCAACCTAACAGAAAGCTCTGACTGCTATCGATTAACTAAGCTTGAACTAACTATATTCAGCCATATAGGATCATTCACATTTGTATGTTTCTTTTTTGGAGTATAGATGAAAAAGAAGAGGGTTTTAGCGCAGAGAGTCAATCGATATCATTTCGGTATACGCTCCGAGTTGGACCTCCCTTGTAATCTGTGGTCACGATTGAGTTCATGTCTAGCCATTTGATTTTTCTCAACTGATTCCAACCTTTGTTATGCCAAATGGGATATTCACTTTATTTTGATTTCTTAGCCACGTCCTACAGAAGGCTTAAACGTTACAAGATACCGTGGTTCCTGAACCTTTGGAATTTCTGTTTTAGATTTACATATCGATACTATACTCTTTCGCTAATCCTGACTTAAGACCGGGCTTGTTCTCCATTCTTCTCTGGATTGATTCTTTCCCGAGTGAACTCTACTTACGGATAGATTGCTTCCTACTTTTCATTGTTCTCGTCGTTAGATTGAGCTGAGAACTCTGCTTATCGCTAAGAAGTAACTGTTTCAGTTATGCCATCACCATGTGCTGTTTGTGAAATGCCGTCCAGCGGTTTACATTTTGGTGTTTCCTGCTGTCGAGCGTGTGCGGCTTTTTTTCGACGTACCCTTTCCTTACGGCTGAAGTACAAATGTCGCTTCTCAAGAATGTGCGAAGTCACTCAAAGTAAGCAAAAGTTTAATAGGCTCCTTCATAAGCATAAACAAAGATTCGGGGCAAGGAGGAGCACCCATGTGCCAGGCGTCCACACGGTGTGGGCGCACCGAGCACCGTTCGGAACCCACTTTGACTTCTCATTTCGGGAGAGGGTAGTCACTAGGCTCATTGATAGTCTGTGATCATCAAAATATTGGCTTTCCCTGGATATTGACTGGTGGCAAACGATCAAATAAGATGTTTCTAGAAAAACGCTACTCGTGCCGATACTGTCGTTTCGAGAAATGCCTTATGGTTGGAATGAAGAAAGAAAGTGAGTCGTGGTGAGATATTTACGTACGGAGACGCTAGAAAACTTCTTCCGAATATCCAGATTCAGTGGTGCAAGCAGTGAATTCGATCGATCCATGGGAGAACCCCAAGGCGTCGTCCTCCAATCCCGGTTCCAATACGGTAAGATTTTTCTCGAAAATCAAACCATCTGAGGTTTTATTTCTTCAGTCCTACTCATCGTGCTCGCCACCAGAGCCGTTGTATCGTATCCCTGCCATCGTACGGAACGAAAATTATCAACAAGCTAACGCTATAGCGGTCTATGGAAGCAGCCCCGGCAACTTCGACTTTCATAGTAACGCCCAAATGATTCTCAAAGCAAAAATTGATGTACTATTCGACATGGTAAGAAGCTGATTTACGTTTTGTTGAACTTGTTTTAATTGACCACCACAAAATATTTGAACAACTCNTTCAATTTTTTCGACTTGAGCCACAATCGATTTCTAATTATTAGATTTATTTTTGATTTTTAATTAAGGGAATGAATTTTTATTAGATTAGGTTAGATCGTTTCCCTATGAAAAAACTTTTTGTGTTAATATTGCGCAGTTGCAGTGTGAACACAGTGGTTGCATTCATACTACCGATGCCAACGCCGGCGTCAGCGTCCTGAGCCAATGCCTGCTTCAACGTCGACAGTATGAATGCGCCCAAATGTCGAGGCATTGTTTCGTCCCATCTATGCATGATTGAATTTCTGTGTGCAGCAATTTCTTCTAAAAGTAGCAGTGGTCATCTGCCGCTACTATTCGCTACTTCCAGTTATGACCATCAAGCTTTTTCCAAACAATATTTACCCAGAAGTAGGTCTTAAAATGGAAAGTTAAGTCCCAGGATCGTATCTCTCCTGCTGCCCTCTTTCTCCTTCAGGTATGTGGGGTTAGGGGAAGATCGCACTTAATGAATACGTTCCAGACGTCAATTTGCAAAATTTCATATCTGTTACCCATTTGTCGCTCGAAACCCCTACCTCCTACCTCCTGGAACGAAGAAGAGAAAAAATTCCTCTCTCCATGGCTTCGTCAACAAAAACTATCAATATACCTGTGATCTTAAAACCTGGATCTGAGATTTGAGCCTCGCTTAAAGGTCTGCATCAGTCCCTTCAGCTTCTACGCAATCAATCAGGGATGAATATTCCGTTATGTCATTTCAACTGGAAGAATTTCTTATGCCCATCGAAAAATATGCGCCAATCTGCCACCTGCATGATATAAAGCATCACTTTTTATAAAAAAAAGAATACCTCTCCTGAACAAATTCCATGATGAGTGACGTCATCGCGATTTTTTACAGGAGTTCAGCCTCAACGCTTTCCCGTACACCATTCCTTTGTCGGTATGTCAACAAGCAATGATCGCGTATGCCAGTTACTCGCAACATTGGCCGGAGTTCCACTCTGTAAGAGAATAATCGACTGATTGGTGATCAAACCATTGAATAAATTAGAAAATTGCGTTGAACTGCCGATTAGTGGAGGGACACGAACAGAGAAGAAAATCAGGGACGTCTTGATTTTTTGGTCGATAGATATTGTGTGTTAGAAATATAGGATACGGTAGGATAAAACGCTAATAATTTGAATATTTGGAAGGAAAAGAAGAAATCTTCGTCTTTCCTATGTACAGCAGTAACAGCAACGTCTTTTCAGACCAGCGAAGTCAATATAATCGATGTGGAGCACTACTTGCGCGATACCTATGCCGAAATCGAGTATTTTGCTCGATTCGCTATGTCACTACAACCATTCGCTCAACTCCCTAAAGACCAAAAGGTACTGTACACTCTGCTCTGTTCCACCCTCGCGACAGACTCTGGTTGAGCTGAGCATAAGCCCCAAAAGAGCTTTGAAAATGTATCACTTTTTCGATGAACAGAACAGGGGTCAGAATAGAAGAGTTCTAACCCGCGTACAGCGCGCGGCGATTCTTAGCTAGTTGTCCCGACAGGTAACTTGTCGACATTTCGGAGTTCCATCCCTTCCAAAAAGCTCACTCCGTATCGTCAATTGCCCGCTTTGAACTGAAAGAACTTTCAGTGAGTCCATCAACCTAGCGAGCAAACTTCACTTGAGATTGGCTCACTAAACGAAATAGTAATCCTTGACTCTGCATGTGCCATCGCTCTTGGTTGTATGAGAAACAAATAATTGAGCAAATAGACTTCTTGACAGAGTCAATGAACTTCAGTAATGATACCGATTTCAGTGGCTCCTATTCCGGAATTTCTGGCCAGGTTTCTTCGAGTTGGATCGATGTTTCCGCACATGCAAGGTACTAGGCTACGACATTAATGATGAGCGAACGGTATGTTCAGATGGGACGATTATGAACCCTCTCGGTGATGTGATTCGGCTTGATACCGTATCCGATCTCAACGAGGAACAAGTGAGAAAGTGAGTCTCGTCCCTTATGTTAAGCTAATACGTTACTGCATTTTACAATTGCCACAAGCAAGAACATAGGTCCCTCTCTTGCCAGTTATTACGTTTTTCGATTTCCAAAACATCTGTTATGAACTGCCAATTTCTGATAAGTTCGGTTTTGAATCTTGGGTCAGTCATAAGGAGTTCATCCCCGATTTTGGTAGTGACCTTGACTTCAAGCTTGAATTGTGTGCGCCAAAACAGTTTTTGATCGGTAGGTTTGCCAGAAAAGCTTTTTCTGCTAGTTTTTTTCATCAGATCACTGAAAATACTTTGATGGGCTCACCAATATTGTGTCAATAATCGGCTTATATTCAGACTATTGAAACCTTCCCATGATCTATTCCGTGAATTGGTCACTTACCCATTCAAGCGGTTGATGCCGAATGAATTCGAGCTCTTGTACATGGTGATTAGTTGTATGTTCAACGTAAAAAGTGAGTTGATCATTCATTTTCTTTGTTTGAAGTCGACCGTTCGCTTGTTCGCTCTTCTAAAAAGTCCTACAAACAAAGACAAATTCCACTAGGTAAAAGTAGCATAAGTTAGATTACGGTGATAGTAATAAATAACAGTAAATGGCTGTGATAAGATATAGTACGGAATATAATCTGAACTCGATTTTACTGCAACCCAGTTGTAAGAATAATCAAGAAGATAGAAATGATTATACATATAACACATTTCAACGAATCCTGAAAGCTGGAAAAGATAAAAAGGTAAAAGGGTGAAAAGGAAAAAAAGGGAAAATGGGAGAATAGCGAGCTACTCACTGGACTTTTGGCGATGCCTTGAAACGCGCATAATAATCAATTTCCAGATATCCCAGGTGTCACAAAAGAGACAATCGAAGTGGCTGAGCAGGTCAAATGCCGATTGGCAGAAGATGTACACAGTTACTACACATACGAATTACGTAAACCAAACTATGCTTCACGTCTTCACAAAATGAGCAGTATCGTATCAGCAGTCGATGTACGTGAGCTCTCAAGAATTCCAAATTCCACAAAATTTGTCTTTTGGTTTTTTTTCACGGCTGATTCACACCTAGGCCTGATCCTTCCGGCACCCCACCCCCCCCCCCCCCCCCCCCCTTCTTATAGAGCAGCCCCATAAGGCCTGTACAACAGGCTACCATGCATTCTGCTTCTATTCAAGATGGTAGTGGTGTCTCAGTAAGTATTTGTCCTGTAAAAAGGCTTACGATGGTCAGCCAATTGTACAGGATGTGGATGGATTTTCTTCCTATTCAGGTTCATAATCTGTTACTCGTAAGAATGAAAGGCTCGGGTAGCAAGATCGGATCTTTATTCAGGGTTTGATTCCAACCTATGCTTGACGGGATCGAATCCCATATCGATATGGACCTAAGCTGACCAAGCCTTCCATACTTACGGGCTCCATAATCTGTGGAATGGGGTGGGGGGTGACTACATGGTATTTAATACTCCTCTGACTCGTCTGAGAGGATAAAAGCGCATTGATTTGTACATGTCCTCCGCAATTCATCAAATAGACTACATACGCATTCAATAGGTCGCTATGATTCTGAAAGGAAGTCGAATATCGGGGCGCATCCCAGAAACGGGACAGACGACGCCGAAGATATTATTCTTCCTTCTAGTATGCTTGTAGAGCTGAATGTCTTGGAACCCCCTCTTACCCGCCTTGTTTGAACCTCATCGATTTGATCTTCGATTCCTCTCGACACTTGAGATCATTCCTTTCAGAAGTTGCAAGAGCGTCGAAAAGAGGACAGCCAACTTTCGCGAATGTTCAATATCTTCAAGCAAGACGTCTTCATGAGTGAATTGTTTTGATGATAATAATGTATAGAGAATTGTACACTCAATAAATATTGGTGATACTTATTTTTCCAATTGTCGTTCAAGAACTACGGTATCAGAGAGGGCAGGGCGGTGAAAATTGATGTAATCAATTATCGACGACATTGATTGACGAGGAGTGAAATGGGCTGTTATTGGGGGGTGATAGTAGGTGTGATCGTCATCGTTAAGCCCTTCATCATCGCCCCTGAATGTGTCGCTGCGACCAATCACGACCACCGCCCCTGGCCGTCCGCCCACTGTGGTCGCTCAGAGCGCCGGCGGCAGCTTTTGCTGTCAAACTCCACAAACAATGATGCCACCACAGCATCACAAATTACCCTGTCATTCACACTTTGAGCCCTCTTGAGCATGCCCGAAGGTCAGCTTCGAAGGTGTTGGGCGCCTGAAGGTCCCCTGTGAAGCATTTCTCTATTATCGTCTACTAAATGAAATTATTCTTCATAAAGATGGTCAAAACCAAATTTGGAACGTGGCTCTCATCATCCTCATCAATTCCTTTCTCTAACTTGAGCACTCTCTCTCTGAGCGGAGCTGCTTGTTACTTCTGTCTTTTTCAGCTGATTCAAGTAATTTCAGTGAACAGATTACCAGCTGATTCTTGCAAAAACTCTCTCTTAACATCACTTTCTTAATTGCTCAGTTGCTGTGAAGGTTTTGTCACTTATTTGCTTCAATCAGGACATGAGCGATAAGCGTGGTTTTCGTGTTGATGAATTATTGTCGGATGATAATAAGCCTGCCGTTACCCAGGATGCTGGAGGTATGTTTTGACCGGTTGTGGGTATCAAAACTTGTAGCTATAATCACCATTAAATCTCTTCGTTTATTTCTCAATAAAACGAGAAATTCTGCATCAACTCATAATTTACAAGTAAAAGTCTTGTAAGAAATAAAACTATCGTGTAAGATATCATAGTCATATCATAGATATCATAGTATGATCTTATTGTGCGTGCTCAGAGAGGTCTACAGTACCATCAAGTAATAGTCAAAATAAAACAAGACGAGCTCGAACAGCTTTCACCTATGAGCAACTGGTAGCATTGGAAAATAAATTCAAGGTAACTCGAAGGCAGTTTTTGTTTATTCCCTCGCAAAATACGATACTTCTGTCCCATTACAGACCTCCCGGTACTTGAGCGTTTGTGAGCGGCTGAATCTGGCCATACAGCTACACCTCACTGAGACACAGGTGAGACTGTTAAACTTTGTACTTGCTCGACATCCTTCCCATTTTGGCGAATGGCCAACGATTATCTTTACAGGTTAAGATTTGGTTTCAAAACCGTCGTACGAAGTGGAAAAAGCACAATCCGGGCTTGGATGCGAATTCGTCGCCGTCACCCACTGGCAGTTACACGTCTTCAGGTGGTACGGCAACTGAGAAGATCACCACACCGGCCGTACCATTAGCTCCTGCCAATATGGTACGTTAGGCTTATCTACACGTCCTCATCTACTGCCTCTCATCTATTTGCGACTGTTCTGTATTCACGAAGTAAGCCTGCAGGCTGCTCCGGCACTCACGGCTAGATCAGAGCCAAGGTTATGTTGAAGTTATTTCGACCTTAAAAATTCCACCTCCTTTTAGTGATTTCTGTATTCGAAAAAACGTTGCTACTCCGGTGATAGGTCGCCTTTACCACAGACGTGACCCGCTGTCATTTTCTCACCGAAATTCTTTTCGGGACCGAGCAAACTTCGACCATGACCTTTTTGATTCTTTTGCAATGTACCACTCCTGATGTCCTAGTTACTTCCTAACATCTAATAGCAAGGTAAATGAGAAAGCCGTCGAACGATTCGCTAGTAGGGCCCACACAATGGCGAGATAGATCAACAGGTAATGGATCCAAAATTTTGACCGACCAACCAATCGGTTTCCAACGGTAATCACTAACTGAAACGATCAATCTTAAGCTCCTCTTCAATTAGCTTTGTAGATATACATCCAGAACTCAGTAGCGATTCTAATG